TCATTTTTCCCTACAAGTAAACGCAATACATAATCTTTGATAGAAAATTGGTTTATTTTTGTAATTAATATATCATTTTCGATTTATAGGGAATATAAATCGATTTTCGATTTAACAAAAAAATAGCATTTATAGGGAATATGATCACAAATTTAGCAGAGACCTGACAAAATATGTAGTGGTTATTTTTTCTTTTACAGGAGACACATGTCAATGTTGCCGTTTATATTGTCTGTGTAAACATTTTTTTTGGCAGTTAGAGAGATTATCAAGGAAAGGAGGGAGAGAGAGGCTAAGAGGTATCTGTACAAAAATTAACGTCAAAAGAGGCCTTTTCATATAATTGCTTTCTTTTACATCCATTATCTAGATAGTTTAGAACATAAAATATTCTCTAAGAATGACTATAGTAGAAAAAATTAGGCAAGTGAGAAGCAAACCTGCGCCCAAATTATACACATGATGAGTCAGCACATTGACTATGCCTGGACCAGTAACCTTAAGAAGCTTATCAAACCACTCTTTATTATAGAATCCTCCAGGTGCTAAAAGTGAAGGTTTGAGCTTGGAGTTTTTGTATAATGAGAGTAAAATTTCTTTAAGCTTTATTAAGTCTTTCCCATACTGTGCTGCACCAACACTTGCCCCAATGCCCTTCCCGCTCAACTCATTACCTATGGCAGCACAGGCAAGAATAAGTTCCAATGCAACAAAATCGAACATAAAAAATAGCATTGTCTTCTGTCCTACCAAATTCCCACGAATCAATTTTGTACCCCTTTGAAATTGTGTAATTGATTAAATCATAGGCATTGGAAGTGTCCCAGTCTCCTCCCCAAACAGTATGGCTAATCTGGTGCCTCCCATGGAGTGCATTCAAACCAAATGTCACAATGGCCCTGCAAGTGTCAAATTTCAACTAAATTACACCACAGATAATCATCCTTTCCCCACCCTTTTCTGCTTTCCTTCCAGTTCCAGCATAAATATGCTTATGCTAGCACACACTACAGAGATAGCATGTTAAATCACTCACACTCGCTGAAACCAAAAGGAAAGTTACTGATTCAAAATGCATGTGAACAAAAATCAGATCTTTCTTTTTCCTGATACAAAAAATTTAGGGAGAAGGGAGGTTGCCTCATTGTAAATATCCCTTTGAAAATCTCAATGCTAAAATGGGGGAGGTAGGTACTAGGTAGTGAAGAAAACAACAATCTCAATGCTAAAATCCTCACCCTGTCTCGTTGAAAAAATGATTCAGCTCATCCCACCTTTTCATTTGTAAACATCCCTTTGAAAATCCAAACAAACCACCTTTCATCTTTTGAAATGGATGACAAGGGGACTTCAAACTTCCTACCTCATACAGCACTTGGTCTTGCAAAGAACCTCCAACTCTTATCCTCAAAGGCTTGAAACCTATCGAGCAACCATTGTGGAAAGAATGACATCACGTTTGAAGTAAATATTCCAAAAACTGAAACTATCAACAAAATTATAAGTAGCTTTAGGAAGCCACAAAACAGAAGAATGCCACCATAGTGACTGATTTACTACATCACATACAGACCTTGGATTGCCTTGGCAAGGAAAGGATGAGACAAGTCCTGAAAAACCAATCCATATTGAATAATGACTAAAACTGCTTCAAAGCTTTCTGGAGTTCTAAATGAGAGATAAGAGATGGGAAGAAATAGAATACATATATTTTCTACTTATTTCATCTTGTACACAAATGAGTGCCAAAATACTCACCAAATTAAGCACAGATGAATCCCCCCAGGGGCAATCGTTGTAATCACACTTCTCATGAGGCCACCAATCAATAGTGGCACAGATAAAGTTATCATCAGTTTCAGCAATTGCTTGAACTCCATCTACTTGAACCAAACCATGTTCAACTTTTTGAGATAAAGTCATTTGAAGAGAGGCCAGAAAGAGAAACAAGGCGAGGTGGATTCCCATTAGTAGATCAATTACAACAGCATCCAAGCCCAACAAACTTATCCAAATTAAATTAACTGCGGTTAGAAAAAGAAAAAAAAAATGTCAGGCTGTGTTGGGTCTTTGTTATAAAAACATCACATTGTTTCCATTTTATTTTTTGTTTTCATTTTTTTCAAATATTTTGTGAAGGAAATTACAAAAGCAGGCAACATTTCTGTAATTACAAGTAAAAATATACAAGGAAAGAATGAAGATAGAAAACAAATCAAACACCCTCTAATTATAGACAGATCTTTTGAAACTACATAATTGCAATTTTCTGTATCTAACAGCTGTTTAAAGATAAGCTTTTAACTGAAGTAATGGTGCCTAATGATTACAAAATAAATAAATAAATAAAAGGAGAAATTGTCCAATCTTCATGAAAATAGGAACGGTAAGATTGAATTCAAACATAGTCAAGAACCGGTAATTCATTTATTTTAAACAAGTACTTGATGTCGTTCAACGAACGCCAATCACAATGAGCTCCATTATATATATATATATATATATATATATGCATATTTTAATAACAAGGAAATCGTTAATCTCAATGGAGATCTAAGAACTGGTAACTCGCAAGCATTAGCCAATTAGATCCAAATATAACTCCACACCATAACGAACAAGGAAAACTAGTTTCTCCACAAGACAAAACAAACCCAGAAAAAAAGAAACAAACTTGAAGAACACCCAGATAGAGAAACAGTGAAAAATTACAAAACACAATTATTACAAGACCAACCTGAACCTTGTTTTGAAATTTGAAGTTTTGATCCAGCACAGCACAGCCTTTGATAGAGGATCAAAGTGTTAAGTAAGTGGCAATTTCCTTGCCTCGTACTGGTCCAGAGGGAAGGAAAGGTTTAAGATTGCGAAGCAACGATGAAGAAGGACAAGGTTGTCGTGATGTTAGTTCAGTGGTTGTTGGATAGGATAGGTGTGTCTGAGATGGGTGTTGGCAAAAGTCACATGCATTGCTGCATTTAATATTTTTAAGGTGAAGGTGTTTTCTCATGAGGTAATTGTTGCCTCCAAATTTAGGTGTCGTTATGGTGGAGTGGTTGAAGGTTTGCATCGTTTTGGGAAAGGTAACAACTCAGCTAACGGGTGCAAGCAACTGTCAATTCTTTTTCCCTCGAAATGGAGTAGGAAATTCAAAAAACAAAATGTTATTGTTGTCTCCATTTGCTCATATTGCAAGTTGTCTTTGTCTTGTCTTGCCTTTATGGAGAAGCTATACTTTCTTCCCCAACATTCATATTCCCACCGCATGGAGACAAAATAATGTTTCAAATATTTTTTTCTTCCATTAACTCAGGAAACATATTAGTCAACACCAAAGATAATATCATGAATCAGGTTAGTCTATAATATCTATGACAAAAAAAATTATTTACTTTTATATATAAGATTTTTGTCGATAAATATGATATTTTATTTTATAAAATTAATAATTAATGATTTTTTACGGGTCTAAAACTTAAGATTTGGGAGACCTGTCTATATTTGCTGTGGATTGGTTTTAATATCCTTGAATTGACTAGTGGGGCGTAGGTGATGAGATTTGTTTTTCATTTATTAAAATGTGAATTGAAGTGTGGATTGAATAAAGACTTTGGTTGAACTCTGTTCAATGCTTATATGTTACTGTTGTAATTTCGTGCAAATTAAGATTATGTATGTGAGATGTTAAAAGTTCAGGACAACTAATTTGAGAAACTAAAACTATACAAACTTTGACTGAAATATTATAATCGCACGAATCACGGTGTCTTTACGTGCGTGATTACTTCAGTTTATTTATTTTTTAATACTTTCAAATTTTAAGGTTTGTTTTCTTATTAAAATAAAAATGTGTCAAGTCTTATTTAAAAAAAAAAAAAAATGTATGGTTGAAAAACTATAAAAGTCACAAAGCAAAGGTGAGTCTTTGACTCTTTGATAATACTTGACAAGCTGATTAAAATATAATATATGTTGTATTTTATAAATACTATCAAAATAGTATATATCGATCTTGATTACTACTCAAAAGCATTATAATTTCTTTTTTTTTTGAAATGTTTGTACTAAATAAAATAAAAAGATTTTAGTAAAAAGGAATGCTAGCTGCTTTTGATATTTTAAGGAAAGATAATTTACTGGAATGTGAATCATATACTTCAAACTATTTACGTAACGATGCGGTGAACGCAAAATAATATTTTGTTCATGTTGAATGTGTATTTGGTTCAGATTTTTAGTGTACTAAATCACATTAGAATAGAAATTGTCAATTATAACTTTTACGTTTTAAACGTAATTTTTGCTCTAAATCACTTTTAGACGTGTAATCAAACATGCACCGAATTGTTGAAATTAGTAAAGGTATTTGATTATTTTGAAGGAGAAAAGAAAATTATATTTCATTCCACGTGGTTATTTTGAGAGGCTGCAATGTGAAGCCCCCACTCCAATTGTAGCTGTTTAAATTTAATTTTAGAAAGTCAGAGCTAGGTTTGAATTAAATCATAAAACGGGTTCTTAATTGCTAGTACTTTATACACACATGTTCTTCTAAAAGGTGCACATTAAACTTTAGGTTTTATTATATCCGTACCTTATTTATATTTGGTGCTAAATTACCAACGTCCTTATCGTTAATTCAGGACGGCATCGTGTGTTTGCTGCATCAATGCTAATGAATACTTCAATCTGTCAAAATTTCAATGAATTGGTCCACTTTCATAACTTTCATTTATTGTATTTATTAGTATTTTAATTTTTAACTCGTATAATGCACGTTGTACATTTAATTTATCTATCCAATTCAATCAATAAAGACGATGCAATTCAAGAAACAACTTAATTAATTTAATCAAAAAATCAAACAATAATATAAGGAGTTTTATATTAAAGAATATTGCACAATCAATTTATATTAATTTACTCTCTATCTCCAATCAATCCAATTGGCATTTTTTTTATTAAAGCTATCAATTGTACAATCAAAATATCTTACTTGATCAACGTTGGAATTCTTACCCTTTTAATGTTTAAGATCATCTCTCAAGTCTTGAAATATGCACAAAATTAACCAACAATTGAAAATATAAACTCTAGTAATTAAAATACTATTCAATCTTTAAGAGGTCCAATGAGAACAATCAAAAATCAAATTGGTAGAGTTTCTCCATTGTAAATCAATATTTTGCTTGTTAAAATTAGAATAAATAAAATAGGCTCATTTTATAGAAATCAATTGGGTCTTTGAATGGACTCTGCGGTAGATAATCGAATACTTTTCTTTAAGTACGTAATTGATGGCCTTGTTTTGTAATTAATTACTTTAATTACAAAATATTAACATGAAGGTAAATTATTATGTGTTTCGAGCTATTACTCCCAAATTACTCAACATAAATGATAATCATAAAACATTGAGTGTAAAATGATTTTTCACAAAATATATAGTATGAAAAATTATTTTTAGAAAGAAAAAAAATGCCAAAACAATAATGAATAATCAGAGATAAGATTTATCTACCCAAAACATAAACTCAAAAGCCATATAAAAATAGATCCTTTTCACTTCTTTTTACTTTCATTTCTTCCACATCCTAAACTTTTGGAAAAACTAATAAAATGAAGTTGATGCATATTTTAAGAAGAGTCATATTTATATTTTAAAAACTTTAGTAACAAAAGAAATAGAGAGAAATTTTTTTTTTTGGAGAAAATAGTATAAAAGAGTATTGATAATATTTCATTGTGTATCCTAATTTAAAATATTATAATATAGTATTTCTAACATTAATATCAATATTAACAAAATATTTTTATTCTCTAAACAAAACTTACATCCATAATTATGTAGTTTTTCTTCTAATATTTTTCACAATTTTCTTTTTCATCACATTAATTATTTGTCCTTTTTTTCTCCCTTTTTTTTAGTTCAAAATAATATATATAT